ACACACACACACACACACACACACACACACACAATCTACACTAAAGGATAAATCATTTTCAGTATTCACATATTTATTTTGGTGCTGCACAGTTTTCTTTGACTGTTTAACATGTATTCTTTGAATATGAACCAATATGATACCATGTGTTTAGTAGGAATGGAAATTTATATGATTTTATTGATATAAATACCATTATTGATTCTGCCTATCATTGCGATTCTTTGTTTATTTCCTCACTGATTCTTGATAAATTTTTTTGTGGAAAAAAACATTGTCAATGAGACTGTTTTATTATCTCTGAGTCTGAACTGTTTGAGTCCCTTCGTGAAATGAAGCCACACTTTTGACCGTTTCTTCCTCTCCAACATGATTCCTTCATTTTGCAAATTTCCAGCTGCGTCGACACATGTGTTTGACATCACTGTTTTGCAATATAAGGATAAAAGGAATTAATAAGCTTGGTGGCATAGTATGCCGATAGATCAAACAATTTGGAACCGGTTCTCAACTGGAACCGGTTCTCAATTCCCATCCCTAGTGTTTGGTTGATAAGCATGTGTGGTGTCTCAAACTCAGACTTATTGATTGCTAAAAATTATGTTGATCTCTCCTAAAACCTTTTCTCTGCCAGATTTCTAGGACAGTCCTTCACCTCGATAACAGACCGACAAAATGCAGACCACATATGATTAAGAAACAGACCAACACTCAGCCAGAATAAAGCCTCTACTTATTCTACATGGAGTCACAGAATTAGTTCTACTTAAAAGAGGGATTGAGAGAGCGATCTAAATGTGGTTGTTTTGGGAAGCCTGCCTGCCGTCGATTCATGTCTTTCTGATAGACATGTAAGTTTAGAGCGCCACCCACACATCCCTGAGCCTCTCTCAGTTGTTACAACCAAGGGAGATAAAAAAAGAGAAAAAGAAAATAGGAGACAGAGAGAAAGAGGGTAAAAATGTGTGCTGTCTGTCGCAGAGTGGAGCTTTCCTGCCCTGGCTCCTCATTGGAAGCTCAGTGCTGAGTGTGTGTCCACATCTCTTTGAGGAAGGGCTGGAGTTAACCCGTACGCTCTCAGCAGCCAGCATCAATGGGGCTTTCTATGGGCTGGGAATCAAGACACACATCCAAGAGCATCCATGGCCCATGCATGGAAAACTGCCGTATAATAATACCGTATGGTCCCACACACACTGGCTTTATACAGATTAAAAGCCACTGAATGCCTTTTGCAGAGCTCTCTCTCTCTCTCTCTCTCTCTCTCTCTCTCTCTCTCTCTCTCTCTCTCTGTTTGCTAGCCTCTCTCTCTCTCTCTCTCTCTCTCTCTCTCTCTCTCTCTCTCTCTCTCTCTCACTGTGTGATCATGGGAGGTATGCATACAGTAGCTATATTTGGGGCTAGGGGGGATTTGCTAAGCTGTGTTTTCCAGCCAGAGCTCAGTATTAGTGCGAAAAGACAAAGAGCAAAGCAGAGTCACATGCATATGCACATACTGCACATGCAAAAGGCACACACATGCACATTCATGAGTGCTTACAAATACATAAAAGCTCAGCTGGTGTGTTTTCAGTGTGTGGTGTAACCCAGGCTGAATCACATGTGGCCAGAGGATTTCCTAAAAAATCTTGAAAGGTTGGACATGTTCCTATAATAAACACCTTTTTATGTCAATACAGGTGTTTATATTATAAATTCATACTATACATTATAATAAGTCAGACTAGGATTTCTACAAGAATGTAAATGAATATGTCTGAAAACACAATTTATCTTTGGAGTGTGTGTGCGGCACTTCACCTGTCAAAACCTGAGGCCACAATTCACCACCTCTTCATTTATGACTGCATTCCTGCATACACAAACACACATGCATCACGCGATGGAGGCGCGCATATTTAGCCGAAGTGTGTGAGCGTGTAGCTGAGTGCCCAGACCCTCAGGCAGGCCCAGGGAGAGAGACCCAGGACAATTAAAACTCAACAGGAAGAAACACAGACAACTACAAACTAGGCACTGAGCACTCATGCATCAAAATACACAAGCACGCACACAAGCACGTACACACAGGTAGACAGAGGAAAAATAAGAAATAAACACACACATCACAATAGGCTGAGCACAGCGTGAGAAGCTTTCATCTACTCCTACCAAAGGTCACGTTTTCAGTGTGACATCTTTGACAATTGACAGCATGGTCACCCCAATTATCTGTTTCAAGTTTCCTACCTCCCTCTCCTCGCAAATAAACCCCGCCTCTTATTCAAACATACATTATTTCACACACACACACACACACACACACACACACACACACACACACACACACACACATTCTCAGACATGTCAATCTCACCTCCCCTGCACTGTGGGTCCAGGGTCTAAACAGAGATGTCCCCTGGGCTCTGTCACCTGTCTAAAGGGATGTGGGGCTAAATGATGGAGGAGGGGGAGCGAAGGTCTCATCTCCTCCCTGGTGACTGAATGCAGGAGTGGACTGCTGACCTTTGACCCTCGCAGGAAGGGAGATTGAGCACTGCTCTAGACCCCATTAGCATTCTGCTCACACGAGCCCCATAACACAGCAGACTAACGACATGAACACTGTGGATGTATAAGACTGAGGTGTGGCGACAAACGTTCTTGTGTTAGAAGAGAGATCCAGTCAACCTGAATATTTGGAGCTTTGCTTCCTCATGGCAGCACAGCAGGGGAGTTCTTGCTGTCAAAATACATCATCTCATAAAAAAACAATAAAAAAAATCACACAGCAGTCTGTGTAGCCATGAGTAATCCTGCCATGATTAGATTCTTAAAAGGCTAAGGGTCAGGTAAAACATGGCAACTTAATGCCACCATGCACCGTCGTCCCCCCCGCCCCCCACACACTCCTTTGATGCTTTGTTTCCCTGACAGTGCAAGCCCTCCTACTCCATATACACACACAAATACATCAAAAAGACAAATAAGCCTGTCGGTTGTGTCTCTGCGCGTCTCAACATCGGCATATGTATGCGGGAATTGTCAACACTGCACAGCGAGATCAAACTGGCAATCTGTCACTACGCTGGGGATACAGTTGGGGATTCAAGTGACTGATGACACATAGAGAAATTAACCCCCTCTGATGTGGCGTGGGCATTGATGTAGTGTTTAAAAAAGGGGATGGGTACATTCTGACCTCCAGCTGGTTATCAACACAAGGTGAACAACCACCTAGATAAACAAAAAAAAAAAACAATATGGAAGCTTTGAAACACCAAAATTCTCATCAGTTTCTTTCATATATATACTCCAAATTCCTCATCAGACAGTTATGCAGCACCCCCCCCCCCCAAAAAAAAATGGTGATTAAGATGAGAAAAAAAAGGGACTTGTGATGGGTTTATCCTCCTCTACATCCCTGGGTGTATCTATCTGATGCAGTATTTCCCGTGGTAGGGTCAGTACCGCACTGATTTGTGAGTGACGCTGGATTTCAGCACCACGGACAGCGCTCTCCCTCTCTCTCCCTCCAGCGCCAGGAGAGAGAGGGAGGAGGAGGAGGAGGAGGAGGGATGGAGAAGGAGACGACGGGTGGTTGTGGTGGTGGTGTTGGTGTTGGTGGCGGTGGTGGGGGTTTCCCTGGCAGATTTTAGGAGAGGGTCTACACACAGTCATTCCTCCACCGCTATACACATCGCCTACCACCTCCTCCGTACTGGATTTCCATACGGAGGAACACCATATTTGTGAGGATCACGGCTTTCATGAAATAGGCTATTGATCGACCGAGCCTCACACAGGATGGACAGAGAGAGAGAGAGAGAGTGAGGAAGAGAGGGATGGAGGGAGGGAGGGGGGTATTCCTCTGGACAGCCTATATCATGCATCCACCCCACCACCACCACCACCACCACCACCCCTCCCTCCTCCCCCCTTAAAAAAAAATAAATAATAACTTTCCGATCATGACAACAACCGCTGTATTCGCCTGCCGATCAGAAACATGACAAAGCAATAGGCTATACACACACACACACACACACACACACACACACACACACACACACACACACACACACACACACACACACACACACACTAAAGGGAAAAAAATGAAGGCCGGCGACGACCAGATCTAACACCATCCGCAGCCTCATAGCCGCACATTGCATCCAAGCGCATAACGTTTCCAATATTGGTAAGTGAGAGACGCGCCGTCATAGCGTTGCATTTAGAGGAATGTCGGGAGGATTTACCCGTGTGTGTGTGTGTGTGTGTGTGTGTGTGTGTGTGTGTGTGTGTGTGTTCAGCCCCACCAAAAAGAAACCGAGCCGGAGCCGTTATCATGTGTCATAAAAACTCCTCGGCCGGCACTGTCATTCACAAAATGCCACATCCGACGTCTTCGCGCATTTTTTTCGCACAAATGTTCTCAGATCATCCAGTGCTCTTAACAGGCCAAGGATGCGCTCATCACCAACCAACCAACACCACATCCACCTTCAGCAACTGTCGTGAGCAACACTTAAAAAAAAAAAAAATCGCTGTGGTCAGCTGGGTGTCAATAATGCAATCTATAGCCCCGGCATCTTTAGCAGCGACACAACACACGGTCAGCTGTAATTTTCAGCTCTGACAAGGAGGCAGGGACATGAATTATTCAATACACATAAACTGAGCTCTTCTTCTTCAGCAAGGGGGGAAACGGCTCGACAAGAAAATGAGCGGACACAAACCAATGCAGAGCCCACATTTTACCGCTTCCACCGCATAAGCACTGGGACGTAAATGTACTTGAATGCATACCGGTAATAAAGGAAGAGAGAGGAAAAAAAGGGCTTTAAATCAGAGGCTTGCAAAAGCCAACGAGAGACCGAGAGCCGCCGCCGCCGACACGCAAAGACCCAGCCGACATGTATGAAGATCCGGGCGGACAGCCGGCGGAAATGAATTCATGGAAATATGAGGAAAATGCAAAAAAAAAAAAAAGAGGCGATGGGCATCTCTGCGTTTACCTGTCAAGACTCCGACCCGGATTTGGTGGTCGTGGTTCGTTAAAATCATCCCGTCTGACGCCATGTTCAGCAGCGCTGTCGCCCGCACCGAGAACTCACGGCAGGGCATAGAGCCGATCGCATCGAACTTAGCGGGGAGAGGGAGGGGAGGAGGAGGAAGAAGAGGGGGAGGAGGAGGAAGAGGTGGAGGAGGAGGGCTGGGATACAAGCAAAAAAAAAAAAAAAAAAAAAAACAGCCAGACAAGATGAGCAGAACGCCGAGCGATCATCGGGACACCTACAGATAAGCGGGCAGGATGCGGGGGCCGTTTAAACCGCACACATCACTCAGCTGGCCGCCTGCCACGGTAGTAGTGTGGATCCCAGATTAAGTCTTATGGAGACCACTATTGATTTCCTGTGAAGGCTTTTAGGGGGAGACTGACTAGCAGCCACTCACTTTTACTCATGTCATGTATTTTGATCCCCCCCTTTTCAATCGGAAATGTTTAGATCTTTGCTGCTCAGAGGCTTCAGATTTGACCTCTAACCTGATGATTAACTGTATCAGTTCTCCAACCCCCCCCAATTTTTTTCCCTCCATGAGATGCACCCCTGCTTTTAGAGATTAAAGGGGCCCCCTCTTAAGAATCAGCGACAGCACCCCAGAGATGTGTCAGCTACATCTCAATGCAGAGGCTTAAGAGAAGATCACAGTCTGATCTGTAAAAATGCAACTACATCCCCGGGCAAAAAAAAAAGAAAGAAAAAACACCGCTTCTATTCATAGACTGGCTGCACGCTTCCATGGTGTGTAATTTCTCTTGTTTATTCTCATGGAAAAAAAATGCCCATCCTCCAGCTTCTGTTGGCACTCTATCAATATACATAATTCATTAACACACGTACATGAGCACAGTAAACGTGGCAAGAAATGGGGCAACTCTTCCAGCTTGACTGGCTTGCTTCAATAGCGTTGCCATGTCTGTGTCCAATGACCTAACCAAAAGAACTGACACAATTTCCACACTTTATATAGCAACCAACTCCCCCTTCTATTGTGTTACAATTAGCAACAAGAAGTGTGTGTGTCGGCCAAGGACATGAAATAGACCTTCAAAGCTTGTCTGATGTCTTAACCTGAGTTACATTTTGACTCAGTGGATCAAGTTTCGTAAGTTAAGTAAGAAAAAACCTGTGACATTTCCTGTGTTTCCTCGCAGCAATGACACCCTTCCTCCGCCAGCGTTTAGAACACCTCATAAAATTTGACATGGAGAGCAAAAAAATGTCACATACTAGTCTTTGCGTCGTGACAGGGGACAGAGGATCCCAGATGTGGCCTCAGTTGTTTCTGCTACAATGCACCACAAAGGATAAAATGATTAATTGTTGTGCCCGACACCCTTTGTCATTGCTGACACACTAAGTTTGTCAGGTTGGGCTATTATCAAGTTGATATCTTGTTGTCTGAATCCAGCATTACAAACATTTGCTGAATTGATCAAAAAGTAACTTAAAGACAGTTAGCTTAGCTTGGTATAAATACTAGCAGGAAAAAAACAGTTAGTCTGGCTCTGTTTAAAGTACAAAAAAAGTCTGCCTATCACCATCTTTAAAGCTCAAGTAGCACGTCATAGCTCGCTTGTTTAATCCGCACGAAGAAAAAAAAGTGTGAAAAGAACAATTTCGGGTTTTTTACGAGAGGGTAAGTGCTGGAATATTTCTTGGTCTTGCCCAGTGAACCAACCTAACCATCTGCTGGCTATAGCTTCAGAGACAACGTACAGACATGAGAGTCATACTCTTGGCCAAAAAGGATTCTCCTAAAACACCAACATTTTCCTGTAGTTGGTGTTTCTTTGGTTGAAAGTTTCTTTGCTAACCAGCTGTGATGTCATGGTGTACTAACACACCCTGCAGTACATTTCTACATCACTGCAGCAATGCGAGAAGTTAGACCACTGGAGGTCACATCAGCTGTTTAGTTGGTCTTTAAAAATGCTTAGAAAGGTCAGAAGATAAATTAAAAAAACTTCTATGATTAAACCAACTACCATTAATTTCTTGTGGAAAGAAACGTTGCTGATCTAGAACATGTGAGGAAATGTCTCTTTATGTATGGCATCACAACAGTGTCCACATCTGTCAGCCTGTCAGCGATGGATAGGACCCAATGCTACAGACAGACCTTGTTAATGATGAGAACAAGCATGCACAAAAGTGCTGTATGTGAGCATGTGCACATGCATGTACAAACACACTTGTTCATACGATACACACACATACACACACACACACACACACACACACACACACACACACACACACACACACACACACACACACATACATACACAAACACACTCCATGGTCCAGAGCTGGCAAGCTTTCCTGGAAGGCTGGAATTCCCTTGTTGGGGTAGAGAGGGAGAGATGAGGAGAGAAGAGAGTAGAGCAGAGATGTATGGAGGAGGGAGGGAGGGAGGCATTGGGCTGAAGACATTGGGGACCCCATCTGGTGTGTAGAGAACTGTGTTTATGTAGTGTGAGAGTGTGTATGCTTGTGCACAAGTGAGCATTATAATGACGGTGTAATTACCTCACTGTCGGTCGAGTTGCTCGCTGTTCATGGATAGGTGATGAGGAGGCAAGGGCCATCGCTCTCCCTTTTTCCCTCACCATCCATCACAATAATAAGGGGAGCCCCAGCAGACGGAGGGAGCTGTAAACGTATGCTTCCCCGTCTTCATGGTGAGCCCAGGAAAGCCCCTCGTTTTCCCCCAAGGCTCCAGATGCAGGAGGGGGGGCGGCCAGAGGATAGCAGCTTGCTCTGGGTGTTTGTGTTATGCAACATTAGAGGCGCTTAGGCCTCATCTTTAGGCTGTTGAGGAAATGTGGCAGAGGGTGGAATCTCCCCTAAAACTATATGGAAACCAGACCAGGCAGTAGCCATACTCTACATCAGTGCAAACACACTACACGGAGCACAACATATTCAATAACAAAGATTACAGGAGATATTTTTGGATGCTGTTTTATTACTTCTGTCTCGTGACTTTCACCTACTGTCTGACTTTTGAAGGTGTGCACATCCATCCATTGTCATAAAGCATGCAGGACATGGTCGCCAAAGAGCCATAAAGCTTTACTTCCACCCCAATGAGCATAAGCCTGCCCCCATTCCTAAAAAGAAAACATCAGGCTAAAGTTGTTAAATGCATGATAAAGCATGCAGCTGCACGTTTTACAGAGTTCCACTAAGTTACACGTCTCTTTATGGCTCCAACTTTGTATCTCATCATTTTATATGGGTCAAATATTTTATTCAGTATCAAATTGCACTTGATGTGTGTTTGATTTTTTAATAGTATGTAGTATAATTTCTTAGAAGAAGTGCATGAGTTTCTGTCATCTACAGTGACTGGAGCAAACAGTTAGACTTGTTACTCCTTTAACCAATCATATGTTGTCTTGGAGAGGAGCCCTGTTCATGATGGCAGGCTGCTCTTTAATTAAAATAAGAAGAAAAAAAAAAGAAAAACAAGAAAGGGAAACTTACCCTGGGGCTTATTCGACATTATCCCATGATGCCTTCTCCAGAATACCTGACTAAATCTGGCCTCAGCTGAAGAGGAGAAGTCAGCGAGGAAGAAAAAAAAAACAATTATCCATCTGCGAATGAGCAGCAGACACTTAATTCAGGACTGCTGGGGACAAAGCCTCTTGTTTAGAGACAGTAATTAGGCAACAACATGGCGAGGAGGTTGGGAAGAGTCGGAGGCGGGGTAGTACGAGTAGGAGTACACCTCTGGTCATCCAAGGAGAGAGAAAAATGGAGGGATAAAGATTAAGAGAGAGTAGACAAGAAGGGAAAGAATGAAAGAGCAGACATGAGAAGGAAGGGAGTATGTGTGTGTGTGTGTTAGGCAGCAATCTGATGAGTGCAGGATCTCTGCCGACTCCCACCACCATTACAGCAGCGCAGAACATTGCCCCAGGGCTTTGGAATCAAACCCATTACATCTGATACTGGATTTCTCTCTGCTCAGAAGTAATGCAATGTGGACTCGCCTTCTCTAAAGCTGGCCAGTGTCGCATAGCATCGCTGCGCAAAGAGCTGCACCACAAGGAAAAGGAGGACAGGGGAGGAGGAGAGTGAGGGCCTGAGAGTCTGAGAGGGATACTGGAGAGGGAGGCTCGCTGCAGCCGGAGGGGTCATTTCATATTTCAATTTTTTAAATTATTATATTGAAACAAGGGCTGGCTGTCTCTAATAACTCGCAGGATGTATGGGACTATGTACACATAAAGGGGCCTACGTATATGTTTATACAGGGGCTTGTAGTCCATTTGCATAATTAACAGACTGGCATTTGAAAAGCAGAATGTCAGCACAAACAACCTTGGACACCAAACTACCCCGGGTCATTTTTTTCAGCCGTGTAATTGGCTCCTAATGCAGAGGAGTTAAACATAGAGATTTTCTGCCCTTAAAGCAAAAAAAATCTCCTCTTGTTAATGGGCTCAGCCCTCCCGGATTCCTGCCGGTGATTATCAGTCAGCTTGGACTTTTGGAAGTTTAAGAAAGGAGCTCCGCTAAATGATGGATCTCAAAAACATCTATTTCTACCTTTAAATCCACCACGTTTCCCTCGTATGTGTATCTGCAATGTAACACTTCTTCCAAATCTAACCAGGACCCTTATTGGTTTTAAATGAGGGTTGAAAAAAAGTATCTAATTTTCTGCTGTGTTTCTGGCAAGCCTGGCCTTCATTTTGTCTGAGCTGCACTGTGGTGGAGTGAAGGTAACACGTCCATCCATCTCTGCCTCTCTGCCTATTCGTAGTGACATGTCTGATGTAATGTTTGTGTAAGCGACCATACTCTCTGTGGCTACATAGCTGGCTTTGCACATCACGTCTGCGCTACGTGCTGAACACATATCAGTTGACAGCTACATGCAATCTCAAGCAAATTGGCAGTATATAGAATGAAACTTTATGTAAGGCAGCACCACAGCTGATACTCAGCCAGTGAGGGTTTTAGTTTGGTTTGTGCAATAGCAGAAACCTTTTCTGGCACTATAAGAAGACTTTAAGAGAGTTTCTTTATTGAGCCATACAGGGAAATGGTTATAAATAAACGTCTTTA